CATCTCTAATATATATAAAAGATAATAAAAATAATCTTTTAATGGCTCAATAATAATAAACAATAAATAACAAAAAGGGGCTACAAACCAGATTTTTATGATTTCATTTCAGATTCTTAGAACATACGTTTCGACCTTATTATTAAGTCATTATCAATGTAAAGAAATTAAATGTAAATTCGACAAAATTAATAAAACGGTTAAATACAAGTTATACAATTTATAGTTACGCAAAAAGTTGGCAGTATTTCTTCATATCTATCTTCTGCAACAATACAATGCTTTTCGTTCTGATAATAGTATCGGTCATATTCTTCCGTTATAACAGTCGCAATAAGTCTATGATAAAAATATTAAACATGATGAGTGATTAAATAAAAATGTATCAGCACATTCTCACCTGCGATTGGTAAATCAGGATATAATCAAATTGAAACAATAAGTCCATTTAATTTGTAAGAAACAAATGAGATCAGAGATAAAAATTGAAATCAGTTCAGTCAAATTGCTTGTATTGTATAAAAGATAATGACAGTATAATAGAAATTTTCTCTAGTTCAACATTTTAATTCTATTAAGATTTTAGATCCGAGGTTTGCTTTATCATTAGCTAAAAATATGATTTAATTAAATTAAAAATTAAATTAAAAAAGAACTTCTTTTGATAAACTATAGAGATAAACTTGTGTTGTTCAATATAACGTAACTGCTTTTATCATGAACAATTTACAATTGTAATATTTTTTTAGTTAGTATACAATTTGTAATTTATTCACGGAGCTACAATTTCCAACATTACAGTTTGCTGTTGCGGGTATCGAGGCCTAGCTGTTACGTATTCGTCAATTTATTACTTTGTAGTGGACAATTCATGAATCGAGCAAAACAAAACGTATACTTGCATATCGCAATTTTACATAAATTTAATAATGCACTTGCTTATTTCACATTAGTCCAATATATGCGCTACAATCTTTTTTATTTTATTTTTTTAAATCAAGAGAAGAAACATAAGACGCTAGATAGGACACCAATGATATTCGATTTTCTATAGCAATAACTTTTGTCGTTCTTGTTCGGCTTTCTGCGTTTCGATATGAATCTAGTGTTCTAAAGTGCGTACTAACGCATTCTGACAAACCCACACAAATACATACTGCATGTGTTTGTTTTCTACACCGACTTAAATCCGTATGTCAGCAACAATGTCGACAATCATGGTGATGATCGCCAATTACATACAATATCAATTAAATTAGTCCTCTATTGACATGGTTGATTATTCGTAGAAAGGCATAAAATGATCGATTGCTTTTCGATAGGTGATAGAGTGCAAATTAATTCAGCGTTAATTCAATGCTTATACCTATGACGGCACCGTTTATACTTTATACCGCAAGTACAGACAACTGACAATGAGACGCGAAGTTTAAAAAAAACTTGATTAACGCCCACAAATAAATGATTTTACAAAAGGGTTTATAAATAAATGATAGATTAGTAAAGGAAGATAATTTTAAGCAGTGTTCTCTTTCCAAAGTTCGAAAGCACGCATTAAGTTGAACTTTTAGCTACTTTAAACCACATCTCACGTTCCATTTCTATTAACTAGACTGTTTTGCGATTTAGTCTCAACACATAATATGATAACTCGCATAAAGCAATTTTGGAAATAATTCGAGAAAAATCATCGAGAATAATAAATTTTAGCAGATTGATTAAAAAAAAAAAAAACTGCTTAAAAACTACAGACGATACAGCGCTGTCTGTTTTAGCGCTCTCTTGCCGAATCTTTGACTCTTGGAGGCCGATCATTCTACAGAGAAGGGGAAGAGGCTTTGCCGAGTCTGATATGGATGGGAAGAAGCTAAGTAAAAGGGACACGTTGAAACGTAAAGAGAAAGAGAGAGAGAGAGGAAGAGATGCAGCATGCATGCATGCATGCATGCATGCATGCATACGTGCACGCACGCGCGCACACGAAAGAGAAGAGAAAGAAGAAATAAAGATGGAAAGGGAAGGGATATACGAAACGGGGAGAGACAGAGAGAAAGAAGAAAAGATGAAGTGAGAGGAAAGGGGGAGGGGAAAGAAAGCCTGGTGTAATGGAGGAACCAGTTTGCGGGTCAGTGCTCCGCATCAACGAGAGGCGCTTCAGCCTCTAGACGCGCGGACGATGCCACCGAGTGAAAGAAGGACGGGGATGGGAGACTCAGTGGGTCCTGTGAAGGACGTGAAAGAGGAAGGAAGGGCTCGCACGTGATAGAGAAATCATTTGAGAAATATTGCGATTTGTAGATCAGTTTGCGCTCTGCACATGTAGATTTTCATAGCAATAAAAAAAAAATACAAAGTAATACGAAAGATTTCAATATGCAAAAAAAAAAGAAACATATCAGTTGTATCTAGACCAACTTGTTTAAAAAACAATTCATTATCACATCTTTTAATCAGGATATATTCAATCTTATCCTGTCGATACAAATATTTAACACGTATATTAAACAAATAAAGATTCTTTATACGATAAGATCTGTAATATATACATGTAGATAAAAAGTACAGAAAAATGAAATATTATATAATATATTATTCTTATTATTGTTAGACATACTGTACATACGATATGTCTCGATCTTGAAAAGAGGAGATGACGTAATAAATAAAAATGAATACCACGTGAGAGAAAGAGAAAAATGGAAAGAGGAAAAACAATATTTTTCGAAAATATATACCAGTACGCATAAAACTGGTTCTATTAGCTGGGCGTGTATAGATGCATCGGATTAGCACCTCGGATCCGTATCCGTTGGCATGGGTAGAACATGGTAAAAACAGTTCGACGAACATGACCGAAGGCGCAGCAGCAGTCTTGGGAGATGGTAAGCCCGCGATAAAA